TAATTTGGGCTATATTGGTTACTCTGGTAAGTCTATGACGCAGATAAACTCCGAGCGTAGCCCTCTCAATAGCTCGCTGGGCAACCTCGAGCTTCCTCATACAGCTAGCAGTGAAGGACCACGTCTCAGATTCATAAGTCATCACTGGCAACAAGAACCTAACGAGAAGATGTATCATAATCTCTCGAACGCTGCCCAGCCGAGTTGAAACCGTCGATTGACTTTTCTGGAATAATATAGTTATATATACTTAATGTTTGTAGTGAAAATTATGGTTTAGTAAAAAGGGCCTTAGCGAGATTCATAGTTAAATCAATTATAATTCGAACTTTACTACTGTTTTAGCGTAAACCAAGCGGACATGCTAGCAGAGAATAAATCGAATAAAACTAAGTTTGACGAACCGCAATCAACTAAACCTTGTTTGTATTTCATTTATTGCACGCCTCATAAGCGAAGCGTTGAGGTTGTGCTCTACTCTCACCTAATGGAAATCCAGTAATTTTCTGAGATAAAAATGTCTTTATTTTTTCTACTATACTACTTTTAGAATAATAAAAATACACATATATCGAGAAAATCAGTCGTTTTCATGTTTCTCTTATTTTTAAAAGTAATTTTCTGTATTTAGTGTAAAATCAAACTGATGGAAAAAAAACTTCGAGGGTGTCTGGATGTGTGGATTGCGCGCGATTACGGTCGTTTGAATTAATGTATCAAAATAATAATTTTTTTATTAGGTTTAGAATATCAACGCAGCGTGATAAACTCAGAAATGAGGATATCCGCAGTAAAACCAGAGTGACCGACATAGCCCAAAGGATTAATAAGTGACAATGGGCCGGCCATATAGCTCGAAGGACTGAAAACCGATGGGGAAGAAAGGTTGTCAAGTGGCAGCCTCGTACCGCTAGGCGTAGTGTAGGGCGACCCCCCACTAGATGGAGTGACGACCTGGTAAGACATGCAGGAAGTTGATGGATGCAGGTGGCTCAGGACCGTGCTTTGTGGCGTGTTTTTTTTTTGGCTCTCCCAAGGCCATGGCCTATGTTCAGCAGTGGACTTGTGAAGGGCTGTAATGATGAATGATGATCAACGCACAGGTTCCTTTTAAAAATCACTGAGTAATTTGGTCTCGTTTAATTGTAATCAATGAAAATGTAAAAAACAACTGGTACTTTTCTACAAAAATATACTCATGGGTCTCTTCTTACGTCTCAAATATGGAAAACGAGATATTTTTCTTTTTATATAATCAAATGAGATCATGAGGCGTGCACTTTTGGATTTTCCAAACTTTTTAAAAAGAAAACAAACCAAATAAATAAAATACATTATTCGTCCCGTTATCAGATCTTTAAAAATGATAAAGAAGAAATGAATAAAACTCTTGGAAATAAGTTGGTTGGTACCATGTTTCATTAAAATTTATTATAAAATTTCATTATAAAATTATAGATATCATTAAAAAATTTCATGTTTATCAAATAACCCTGCTGGGTTTCTTGCTGGTTCTTCTCAAGTCAAAAGTATGCTGTTTTAGCGTAAAATTAATTATAGTATTTATTACAGATTTGAATAAAAATTTTGTTTTTAATTCATAAATAATTTTCCAACAAGGTGTTACGCATGAAGTTTCTTAAAATGATTCGTTACATAAAATACTTTGTTACAGTGCAATATCTGGATTATTTCATCAAAAGCGCTTAGAAAGGATAATTTCCTTCAATTTATACATTGATTTTTTTGGTTGTATGATTAAAACAAAAAAAAATCGATGACTATTTTATTAATGCAGCATTTAGACACATAATTTATTTTTATTTTCTTAGGTTTTCACCATCATTGACGTTCTGTTGATATTCTGTGGACTTTAAAAGCTGTTACAGCTTATTAAAGTCCACTGCTGAACATATGCCTCCCCGATAGATTGCCGCTTCTGTCCATCTCCTGATTTGTTTTCGTCTATCGCCTCTTACGACACCCACGGGATGATATGGGGTAGTATTTCCTTACACCGCCACTGCACGGTAAACCATTAATATTCATGGTAGTTCTCTTTCAAATCTCTTTAGTTGAATGATTTTGTTTAAATTCATGTATAAATGTACGTGGTAGAGCCACGCTGCAGCTATATTATAGTTGTAGCACGAATGGGTCGACTCAACCCAGGCAGGACCACGCTCTAACAGAATACCAGCGTAATGCTGCTGTGTTTCGTATGGGTACTGTAGCGACCTTGGTCCTCAAGGGTGACAACACATTTGCATTTTGATACTTAATTGAAGATAAATGTGGTTCCAATCCGCAGGTGGACTTTGTGTCGTCAAGGTTTTTTTATAGCATTCGCTAACCAATACTATAAAAAAAACCTTTAGTATAGCTTTTATTTGGAAGCCAATATGCTTTCCAAATAAAAGCCATATTAAGGTGATAAAGGATATAAACTGGTTAAATACGTCCCAAAGCACTAGCTTCTTCTCTATAGAAAGGATAACACTTTTTAAAACAGGGAAAATTCCGCTACCACACATTTAGTCAGCTACAGTAAGTAAACTTAAAACAGGATCATGGACAAGTCTATTGGAAGTTGCAAGACTGGGATATACGTTTTATTTTTAGTTGTAATTATAAGTGTATAGCATTTTGTGCATTGTGATTCTAATATTTCGGAATGCAATTATTTTGTACAATGTAACCAGGGTTTAAACTAAGAGACTACGTAAAAAAGGCGTGGGAACGATATTAAAAAAAATTGGTTGACCCTGCATGCCATCCGTGGAACTTCCCGCTAATTTCAATATCAAAGCGCTCCAAATTCCACTTATTAAAACGTCATAATTTTGGAAAACCACATTTTAACATTTTTTTTTAAATTGAATATTTCACAACCCAATCAACCGATTTTGATGTAATTTACGACAGTCGACGCAATTTTTTCAGCGTTACAAAAGACTTATTACAAAAAAAATTGATTTCAGGGAAAGTTTTCAAGTTGTTTTGAAAAAACACTTTTAAAGATTTTTTACGTCAACGATACCTCTCCAACGAATCAACCAATTTTGAAGCGGTTCACGGCAATCGTCGTCGTTTTTGAGTAAAGAAGCTGATTAGATTAAAGAATTGATCAAAACAAGGGTGTCGAAGTAGTTCCAAGAAAACTACCTTTTGAAAATTAAATTACTCGAATTTTTGAGATTTTCTCAGAATCCACCGTGACGATTCGATCTAAATTCACAGAAAATCTAATTTCACGATTGCTTCCTCATTTTTGAAAATAATTGATTTTCATAGCGGGAAGTTAAAAACCAATTACAATAAATGAAAGCCAATCTTAATAAATTTTACTTTTTTTAAATGTAATCCTTTACTAGATTACACTAGTCTAGATTTTATATACGTGGTAGAGCCACACTGCGGCTATTTTATGGTTGTAGCACGAATGGGTCGGCTCGACTGGGGAAAGACCACACTCTCACAGAATACCAGCGTAAAGTACCAGCTTAATACTGCTGTGTTTCGTATGGTGAGTGTAGAGATCCCTTTTTTACTGGAAACTGGACATTCCATCTTATTCCTCAGGGGTGACAATGCATCTACGTTTTGATTCTTAATCGAGGATAAATGTAGATGTCTATGGGCCACAGCATGCACTTACCATCAGGTGGACTGTGTACTCGCTTTTTACCCTTATTCTATAGAAAAACTAGATTTGGTTTTCTTCTTAAAATTCTTCTTTAACAGGCTGTAAAAGTCTTAGACTAGACTAGTACTAGGATAGACGTAGAGCTCTTCCGTATGGAAATTTACTTATCTTTATCCGTAATTATAAGTTTTAGTTCAAAAGAAATTGACCTTGAAGAAAAATGATACATTCATCCGTCATTTTACTCTGCTCATGCCACATGTCCTCTAAATATTTGTTAACTTTCTGACATGCAGGTTTCCCCACTTTAGTAGGTAGTAGGACTTCTTTTCTGCCCAAGAGTCCATCTAAATAGGTACCATCCTCTTTATCTATGTCTGTGCCCAAATAGCAGTGCTTACTGTGTTTTTATCTGACGAGTATTAAGGCATTAGACCGGCAGCACACTTTTAATTCCCCTGGTGTTGCATGGGCGACAGTAGTCACTTACCATTAGGTAAGCCGCATGCTGGTTTACACCACTTTCATAAAAAATAGACATTTCACATTCTTTCCTTCTTTGTCTGAAGTTGTCTGCAGGTATTTTTGAACTGTAGTAGCTACTTACCATCAGTACCACCAATAAAATTACTAACTTTACTAATATTCCCTTTAAATACTCCTGGTTAGCAACTAAATAAAACTAATTTTATGAATTTTATCACGTACTTACGTTTATATTATTTTATGGTTTTGAGTGCATGCAGAGCAATATTAAGAGAATAATTAAGGTACGCAACGTTCTGATGTTATCATATTTAATCTGAAAGTTAATTAATATTTAAGTTCAAAGTGTGGTATTGCGAAGCAATCCAAAAGTTGAATTTTAAAATAAATTGAAAAAAATAAACGTGACAAAAACCACAAAGTTTGTTTCATTCAACGTGTAGTACGAGTACACGCTTAAACGTGAGCAACCTTCAAGTTCTTAATCTTAACAAAAAATGTAAAAATTTCTAATTGAGTTTCATGGGCTTTAAAAAAGAGAATTTTTATTCTCTTTTGTTTGTGCTTGTGCTTAGCTGAACTTGTGGCAATTGTTACAAAAAAATCAATTTCAATACGGCGATTCAGCGAAAATTGATAAAGTTGAGGCAACTTGTAATAATATAAAAAATAAACGTGTACCGTTGCTCCGAGCGTTTTATTAAAAATTTGGTTTCTTGTAAACTCTGGTAGTTAAAAGTTTTCTTTGTTCACAGGAGGTCGACAGCTACAATGCATTCCAGCAAAATACAGCGAAAGAAATGAGTTACGAGGTAAATTAACTGCACAATATCTATCAAGCAAGCATCTTTTTCAAATTGGAATAAAAATGACGAACGTTAAATTAAAATTAATGTTCTTTATATTAAATGCCGTACTATCACCGGATATTATTCACGCAAGACCATACTCTGGAATGAATACAACAGATGCTGCGTATACATACTACCATAACAATCGATCTTTTACCTTACCTGTTGATAGGAACTATGACACATTAGTTGTCGCAAGTGACGAAGAGACTCCAGAAGAAACTAGAAGTTTTAAGACACAGTTAGATGATATTGTTAACGCTGAACAAGATAGAGACGAAGCGTTATCTGAAAAGGTGATGAAAGATCAAATAAGCATTCTGGAAATGCATAAAAATGACGCCGAAGGCATGGAGAAACAATTAAACATATCAAGTTCACTTTTAGAAAAAATTATTGATTCAGAGACAAACAGAGAGGAATCAATAACAGATATTCAATTTAGATCTTACTCAGATTTTGTTGATGGGCCAAAATTTGAGTTTTTGATAGCGGCTAAACCAAATAATAGTGATGCAATTAACTCGACTTTGACCGCTAAAGATTCAGGGTTTAGTGATAATAAATTGGACAAACTGGACAGAAATAGCAGTGACGGACTAAAGAAGGTGGACTATGTAGAATTAGTGGAAGTTTTAAAGCCATCAAATGAGAACAAAAGTGCATATAATTTGGCGAATATGACAGGTCACGAGGTTGACAACGATTTAGCTCCTGATACAAGTGAGTTTATTTCTTTTATATTTACGAGTACTACTAACTTAACTAATTAAACAACACAATGCGTAATACAATGGTTCAGTGATCAAACTATTGCGAGGCTTCCTTATAACTACCACCCTTCATGTTAAGAAAGGTTAATGAATTTAATGTAATGAGATTCTTAAATAAATTTTACGTGGTATAGTCATGCTGCAGCTATAATATGATAACGGGAATGAGTCGATTCTACCGAGGTCGGGCCACGCTCTCACGGAATACCAGCCTAAAACAGAAGGTTAATGGTGTGTTTCGTATGGTGAACCGGAAAACCTTTTACTGGTAATGAGGTACTCCATCTTAATCCTCAGGGTTAACAACTCATCGACATTTTGGTTCTTAATCTAGGATAGATGTAGATGTCTATGTCTATATTGGTCGCAGCATCAACTTACCATCAGGATTGTGTGCTCGTTTGTCACCCATATTCTATAAAAATATTTTTGTTGCTTTTTAATAGTACAAGAACTTTATTTGTAATATTTTGAGCTATACACAGACATACTAATAGTGGAAGAGATGTAACAACACATTTTTTCCAAGCGTATGTTATAGTAGAGGGTGGTAGACAAAAATATTTTTTTCTTTATTTAATTTTTAAGTTATTATATTGTCTATTTTTCTTTTTGATATAGAAACAAAACAGAGTTAATATAGAAATAATTTAAGAATTAAAAATATATGTAGAATAGTAAAACATGCATATGATCGAAATTGTCTGTTATCTAGTAAATTATTATAGTTATATTCTCTCATGCATTTATATGGAGTAAGTATAGATAGACCGCGTCAACCATAGAACGATTTTTTTTAATTAATAGCACTTTAATGATGACAGCGTCAGACCCTAATTAAATAAGAATGGCCACTCAGGGTTTTCTGTAAAGAGCAACGTTAAATGAAATGAATAATACTTTTCGGGTTTTTTTTTTCAATAAAATACCAACGAAACGATTATCGAGGAGCTTTTACTGATGTCAATACCGCGTAGTTCTCTTGACTTGTAGACATTATGTTTATGCCTGTCTCCCTTTTCTTAATCTTTGTAACAATATCCGACCGTGTCGTGGCGGTGTAGGAATATCCAACACCCCATATTATCACATGGGAGTCGTAAGAGGTGGCAGAAAGAAATTGAAACAAGCGATGGGCAACAATATCTTCTTTATAACAGCTCAAAATAATAAAAATTGCGGTTGACAATCCGCTCTTTAAGTAAGTAGGCGAAATCCACCAGAAGTAATTGATGGACAATGCCGTTATCAAAAAAAATTTTGTGATTATATTAAATGAGGATATATAGTATCGTACTATATTTCAGTCAATTATCATCATCATCATTACAGCTCTTCACAAGGCCACTGCTTAACATAGGCCCCAAGAAATGCCACAAAGCATAGTCCTAAGCCATCTGCATCTATCGACTTGCATGTCTTACCTATATATGTCTTACCAGGTCGTCACTCCATCTAGTGGGGGGTCGCCCTACAATACGCCTACCGGTACGAGGTTGCCACTCGAGAACCGATTTTCCCCATCGGTTGTCGGTTCTTCGAGCAATATGGCCGGCCCAATGCCACTTCAGCATACTAATCCGTTGGGCTATGTCGGTTACTCTAGTTCTATATCCTCATTTCTAAGTTTATCACGCATACAAAACCTCAAGCATAGCCCTCTCCATAGCTCGCTGAGTGATTTTGAGCGTCCTCATACAGCCAGCACTGAAGGACCACGTCTCAGATCCATAAGTCATCACTGGCAACACGCACTGGTTGTACAATCTAGTTTTTAGTTTTTGAGGTATACCTGAGAAGACGTGTCGTAGTATCCCGAACGCTGCCCGGTCAAGTTGAATCCGTCGATTGACCTCTCGGTCGAAGTTTGACTTACCTAGTCGGATTATATTTTGTCCCAGGTAAACCCACTTGTCAACAACTTCGACCTTAGTGCTCTCAACAACTACCGGCATAGGTGTGTCATGGACATTACACATGATTTTTGTTTTGTCTATGTTTATCTTAAGACACTACTGAGTTCATTGAGCACAGTCCTTAGGTTCTCCAATGATTCTGCCAAAAGTCAAAATATATCGTCAGAAAATCGAAGGCCATTGCTGTTAATAACGTATCTTTTCCATTTCAGTAGCTTGAAAACATCTTCTAATATAGCGGTGAAGAGTTTTGGGGATATAATGTCAACCTATCTTATACTTCATTGCAGTTGGATAGGTTTTGTTCTCTGGTCTGACCGACTTCGACTTCGATATACCGACAGTCATCTTGGTGCCGCTGAAGGGACTGTCACACCGCCCAAATTTTGACGCACACAACGCATGCAAAATACGCAAGGCAAAGTGGCAGATTGTCTCTTCGGTCTTCTGTACAATTTGCCGTAGGGTATGTATGTGGTCTATGGTACTGAAGCCTTTTCGGAAACCGCCTTTTTCGCGAGGCTGGATGTCGTCGAGTCTGCGTGCGAGACGATTCGTAATGTCTCTTGAAAACAGCACATAGACGCAGCTCAGAAGACAAATCGGTCTGTAGTTCTTCAAGAGAGCGCTGTCGCTTTTCTTGACCAACAAGACCACCGCACTTCTGCTCCACGCCTACGGAGTAGTGCCACCATGAAGGATGGAATTGAAGACCTTCTGAAGGACTTTAAGTACCGGTTTTCCACCCACTTCCAGAAGCTCTGCTATAATTCCACCTTTGCCTGAGGCCTTGCCGTTTTTAAGGTGCTGAAGAGTCATTCTAATCTCGCTCAGACTGGTTTCCGGGATATCATCGGAATAGTGTCGGATAAAACTTGCTCATGGATCGTTACTCACACTTGCGTGTGGCTCCAACGATGATGTATACAGCTGCCCATTGAACCTCTCAACTTCATTCAAAATCTCAGGTGTTCCGGAAATGATGCTGCCACGATCAGTCTTTACCGTTGAAAGTCGGCTCTTTCTGGCACACAGATCTCTGGCAAAGACTTTGGAGCCCTGGTTAAGCTCGATCGCTTTTTTAATACGAGCAGTACTAAAGTTGCGTAAGTCCCGCCGCATGCATTTGGAGATCTGTCTGTTCAGTTGCCTGTATACTGTAGAATCTGCTGATGACTGCAGCTCCGTCTCCCAACTAACCGCCATGAGATTAAGAGTGCGATCGGGGAGTTTTTGTGTTTTTCTGCGGCGGGTCTTGCAAAACTTCTCAACTCCGACCGCAGTTTCCACAAGCTTGTCATTCATATCATCTCCTGCAGTGCAGTCGTCTAAGCTATTATTAAAGAAACTATTTTCTTAAAACCTGTAAAAAAATAAAGAAAAGAACGTATGTCTTTGGGAAGAAGGTCTTCGGGATCTAGGTTTGACACCTATGGGTATAATTTTTTACAATAAATTAATCACCAAACCATGGTCCGTCTGTAAACAGATGAAACGAGTTAAGATCAGTTTGAGATTCGGTGTAAAAATTACTCCTTTATATAATTATTGATTAGAGGTCAAATATTTGCCAAATACTTTATTGGTAACTGCCTTCGATCGGGGTTTTAAATCCACTAGTAGATTGGATTACACGAATGGATTAGCTCAACCGGAAAAAATCACGTTCGCATAGAATACTGACCAAAAATTGTAGTGTTTCGTATGGTGGGTGTAATGAAACGAAGAATCTTTTTACTGCAAATGAGGCATTCCATTTTGCTAATCAGGGGTGACACCGCATCTTCATTTTGATCCTTAATCAAAGATAGATGTAGGTCTTTATGGGTCATAGCATTTACCTACCATCAGGTGAACTGTGTGCGATAATTGTCACCCTTATTCTATAAAAAAAACTTTATTTTTCGTTACTCAGTGGTCAGCCAATCATAACATTATGAAAGGAATTCTCACTACCAGTAAAACAGAAATTCTACAAAGGTTCAAAGCGTCGGAAAAATTACTAGAGGAATGTATTTATTCGTCCGACAACCGCAAATTAATTCGGCGTTAAGCTCCCTATTGTCGGATACCGATCAAATGAGACTAACGTCTGTCGTTCCGGTCTGGTGTTAGGCTCCCTTTCATGTTCAACGTTCCGAAATGGAATTAAACCATTATCTTGTTATTAGAAATCAATGTGTTCAGAATTTTGTATCGTCCATTCATCGCGAGTATAAAGCAACGCGTGATATAGATCTCTTTTCATTTCTGAGAGGGTTTTTTTAACTTATTACTAGCCAGTCCTTGACCACAATCCCACCTGGTGGTAAGTGGTGATGCAGCCCTAGATGGTAAATCGCACTGTCTTAGCGTAACAAAAACCCATTCACTCTTGCCTTGAACCTACCCAGATTGTATTCGGACGGAAAGATAGACGCCGGCAAATTATTCCACTCCTTTGCTCTGCGGCAAAGGGAAACAACGTCAATCCTGAATGTCTGAGAAATTAAAAAAATACTTGAAGACCTGTGTAATCCACCACCACACGCGCGACGGTTTTTTCCTTGCACTAAAATCCTTTTAGAAGTGAGAGTGGGATTGTGTCCAGCTGTGGGACGAATATAGGCTGTAACTTTACTTTTATCAGGAAGATGCTGTTGTCCATTCCATGCATTGAGTTATACAACACTAGAGGAGCAAACCACATTACCGCGCGTCGAAAAAAGTGTAACCACTATCCAAACGCGACGACGTAGCTTTGAAACTAATAACAATTTTAAGTAAACATATATCTATCTCACTTACACAAGTTGCGAAAACAATATCGTCGCTAAGATTAGATAAAGATAGACACACAAACATGCAATTGTGGGTTGGTGTGGCTTACTATATGAAATTTTACCTAAAATACGCAATAAAATTGAGTTTTTTTTTAAGCTGCAGTTAATTGTTTTTATATTAAAAAAAGTATATTTTATTTTAAAATCTTTATTACGCCCCCTTAGAAAAAAGGATACAAAGCTTATCAGATGAATAGAAGTAAACATAATGA